AACCACAGGATTTAATGTTTGCCCTGCTGGGTTTTGGTTTTACTTTAGTCTGATTCCTTTCAATTCCCCTATTTTTTCCTTTTAGAATTGGAATGCTGACCGTAATTTATTTTATCTTGGGAGCATGTAACTTTGTTTTTTGTTTTTTGAATTTTACAGGGGTTCACAATTAAAAAATTTTCCTTGAGTCACAGAGAAGATTTTGGACTTAAGACTTTTGAGTGATGTTAGGACTACTGTGATTTTGGGGAAAGAATTAGTGCATCTGTGGTTGTATGCAGGATAGTTACATCGTGTTAGGCTGAATGATGACAATTATTGTCTCTCTTTGGAGGTTAAGCATGGTTTAAAGAGATGTAACTCAGTGACAATCTGTAACGTCCTTAACTAGCCCACTGTTTTTATACCTGATTCTTACATGAGAGTGGGTGTAGGTGGGACAGATAGAACCAACAAGAAACCTGTTGTAAAGAGAGAGAAATGTGGAAAAAAGGAGAGAAAATACCTCTTAAATTCTTACTCAAATAAGCTCATCAAAAATGCCACAGGGGGACGGGGATTTAGCTCAGTGGTTCCACCTGCCTCACAAGCGCAAGGTACTGAGTTCGATCCCTGGTACCAAAAAAAAAAAAAAAGCCACAGATATGAAGAAGTAAAAACATTAAGTAACCAGGCCAATAAAAATCAACAATAAAAATTCATGCAAGGAAAAACTAATTTAAGTAAAACATCTAGATATGTTTACAGTTGTCAAATAGATAAAGGAATATCATCTGTGAAAATTCCACATGACATAAAACATGTAAATGTGGAAAAAAAGTCCATTAGAAATCTTAGACATGATGTTCATAGACACAGGAGCTATCTTGTAACTGTGAGACAAGAAGAAAATTAGTTGCTGTACACTAAAGAGTAGAGAGGAAATATAGAATTTGGGAATTTCACTTTAGGTTAATGGTAGTAGTCTAGGGAATCAGATTAACCCTTCAACTGAAAACAACTTGAAAAGCTAGAAAAAAACTAGAAAAAGATCTGTTTAAAGCATTAGAGAGCAAGACACTAAGCAATTTTATAGTCAAGATCCAGGAGGGAAAAAACCAGTTTCACATTTTGCAGTGTTTCTCTAGGGCCAATTGAGGAAGAGATGGCTGACAAGATGAGAAACTGGGCAGAGCTTTTAACAAACTCCCTGGGCTAAGGAGACAAGCAAGAGTTCTGAACTCTGGAGAGGACTATAGTAAGCCTGGCACTTTGGTGTGGGAACTTAGAGGGCTATATACTAGGAATAAGGGTGAAAAGGTTAACAAGAAATAGACCAGCCCTGGTAAGAACAACAGTTTCAAATCAGCTCAATCCTTAACTGGATTAAAGTAATCCTAGACTGCTATTCTCATGAGGTTCTGGTCAAAACTAAAAGTCCCTGAGGGGAAGATACCTCCTCCTAAGCTTCAAATTACCTTAAATTGTCTATTTACCATGTCTAGCTCCCATTAAAAAATAATTGGGCCTCCATGATGACAAAATTAATGTTTTAACAAAAAGACAATACAAAGAGCATAATTTATAGGGGATCCAGAAAATGTTATTAGACAAAGACTACAAAAAACTATGCTTATATTAAAAATGAAAGAAGAGAAAATTAAATTTTTTTTTTTCAGCAGAGAATAGAAATCATAAAGCAGGGTCAAATGGGAATTCTAAAACAAGCAAAATAAAACACCCCAAACCACTAACCAACAAAAAACCCCCAAACTCCCCACAAACCAAACTATGGTTGGTTAGTTATAGGATACAGGATACATTACTGACATATATGTAATTTTAGTTTAAAGCAGTGAAGAGTCGAGTCATTAGGCAGAAGCAATATTTGAAGGGATGATGGCTAAAACTTTTCTGAAATTAATAAATGGCATCAAAGTCAGATTTAAGTATCCCTCTGAGTTCTATAAAAAATAACACAAAGAAAACCATGGAACCCCAAGAAAGTATGATTACTGAAAATCCAAAACAAAGAATATCTTGAAAGCAACCAGATAGGGGGAAAAAAAAGAGGTTCTTTTTAAAGTATATGGGGCCGGGGATTTAGCTCAGTGGTTCCACCACCTGCCTCACAAGCGCAAGGTCCTGAGTTTGATCCCTGGTACCAAAAAAAAAAAAAGTCAGAGGTAAAGTATATGAATAAGACAAGGATGGCTAAAACTATCAGAAAGTTGACAAAAAAAAAAAAAAGCCAGGAAAAATTTAGGTCCCTTGATGATAATGTTGAGATAACAGATCTCTCCACTTATTGCTAACTAAACAATAAATGTCTTTAAAGTACAGTATATTATTACTTGTAGCAGAAACAATTTGATATTGACATAATATTTAACAGATGAGATAGGAAATAAAGTGCCCAAAAATATTTAAAGGTATCATTGGTAAGGATTTTTCTGAATTAAAGAAAAGTATGAATCTTTAAACACTGTGGATAATGAGGAGAAAAGAATATGTATTCTTAGGACCAGGATTGTAGCTCAGCAGAGCAGCGCCTGCCTCAAAAGCTCAAGGCCCTAAGTTCAATTCCTGGTACCACAAAAAGAAAAAGAAGAAGAAAAAAAGAATATGTATATTTATATCCAATACAGCATAATAAAGCTAAAGAGGATTAGGGTATTATATAAAATCATAAAGACTAATAGAGGGAAGATAATTTACTTATAAAAGAACAAAAATTAGAAATAAATTTTTCAGACTATAAAATTTTAATACAAAACCAGAACAGTACAAAAAAAGTAACTTTTAACCTCACCTAGAAACATATATGCAAAGATCTTAAAATAACAAAACAGATTTTGAGGTTGTATATTTAAAAATGCAAGATAACTCATCATTAGAAATAAATAACTCATCATTAATGCAATAAATCACATTTTCATACTTAAAGGAAAATATATATAATATTAACAGACTCAGCAAAGCAGTTATAAAATTTTACACTTCTTAATAGAAATCTGAGAAAGGTAGTAAGAAGTTTGACAGGGTATGTATTGAAAACAAAAAGCGAATATCTCAGTACCAACACAATGATGCTGACTAATTCAACTGGCTTATTTTGTTTTTCTACTGGCTTATTTGTAAATAACAGGATTATCTACATGGCACTTAGGAGTTTGTCATCAGCCTGGGCAACATAGGGAGACCAGTCTTAAAAAAAATTACAAAGCTCTGTAATTTAAGACAGTATGGTGCTACCAAAAAAATAGACAAACAGATCAGCAGAACAAGTCAAAAAGTCCTCCAAACCATTACTACACATTTAGGAAAACCTGGTATAGGATAGATGGGATTATAAAATAAAATGGAATAGATTACTCAATAAATACTGCTGGGATGATCAGTTATCCACATGGAAAAATTGAATTTCCTACTTCACATTGATTTTAGTACATCAAAGTCACTTTTTGGTGAATTAAAGATTGGAAGACGAAAACTAGAACATTTAAATGAAAATATAAGCTGAATGTGGTGGTGCATGCCTATAATCCCAGCTACAAGGGAGGCTGAGGCGGGAGGATCAGAAGTTTGAAGGGCCACTGAGCAACTAAGAGAGATCCTGTCTCAAACTTAAAAAAAAAAAAAAGCTGGGTACGTTGCTCAGTGAAAGAGGACTTGCCTAGCATGCATGGGGTCATCGCTGTAATCCCTAGTACTGTAAAATTATAGAGAAAAAAAATTTCCTGCCGTAGGTAGAAGTGATTTATCTAAGACAAAAAGCACAGGCAATAAAATGTGACAATTTTTGCTATATTAAAATTAAAATATCTGTACAAAAATCGAACATAAATGTAAAGAAGGTGGCAAGTTACAGATTGAAAGATATCAATAAAAATATAAATATATAAAGTATTCTTGACCCAAGTATGGTGGCACACTAGAGGCTGAGGCAAGAGGATCTTGAGTTTGAGACCAGCTTCAGCTACATAGTGCTTTTTAAGACCAGCCTGTACTAACCAGTAGGACTCTGTCTCAAAAAGATAAGTACTCTTATAAACTGATAAGCAAAGAAAGTCAATAGAAAAGTAGGCAACCGTAAAAACGAATCTATAAAAATCATATTTTATATTATACTTTAGTATGTTTTTAAATTTTAGCCGGGGATGGTGTACACCTGTAATCCTAGCACTAGGGAGGCTGAGGCAGGATCGCAGTGAGTTCGAAGCCAGTCTGGGCTATCTTAGTGAGCTCAAGGCCAGCTTGAATTACACTAGGAGACCCTATCTCTTAATTAAAATAAAATAAAATAGGCAGTTAATGTGTTCAACTTATAGACCATCCACAGATTCAGAGCTCCTGTTTTAGAGGAGCTTCTCTAAATCTCAGCCAGAAACATTGCCTGAATTATTGCTAGCAAAGAACGCCAAGTATATAGGCTTGAGATCCAGTTGCGTAAAAGTGACCTCTTGGGCTTTCACCAACTTCTCCAGAGGTGGTAAACAGCTTTTATGAATGACTTTTGCTCTCTACCGGAACTGGGCAAACGCTCTCAACTGTCACCGACCGAGCGTACAGAGAGGGTCAGGCTGTTCTGCCACAGGGTCTGGCAAACAAAAACAGGGAAGAAACCGCCCCCTCTTCTTTCAAGCGCAGGCACCCTGACAAGCGCCCAGAAGCTCCTGAGGAAACGTCAGTACCAGACAAGAAACGACTGTCAGGGCTGGGGGTTTAGCTCAGTGGTTCCAGCGCCTGCCTCGCAAGCGCAAGGACCCGAGTTCGATCCCCGATAACAACAACAACAAAAAAAACAAAAAAAGAAAAAACAAAAAAAGAAACGACTGTCACAATTGAAACTCCCTCCGTAGGCGCGCGGACCCCAACTCCATCCCACCCCCTACCGGAGGTGGGATCAAGCTGAAGCCGGGACGCGACAGCCGCCCCGGGTAACGGCCTCAACCGCCTCCGGCCGAGTCCCCGCTCAGGCCCACCGAATTCAAGCTTGAAGAAAAGAATCCCACACTCACTGGAAAGTGGGGCCAGGTCCTGGTCCTGGCCCGGCCCCCGGAATTCGGCGGGTCTCCCAAGGTTTCGGGGGAGGCGGCGGCTGGGACGCCATCTCTCAGCCTCCGCTCCGCTCCCACTCCCAGCCGGAGCTGCTCAGGCCAGGGTACACTCGCTGAACGCGAGCCAGGCACAACGGAAAGAGCACCGAACCCTCCACCCGCCCACTCCTGCAAATCAGGTCATAGTTTGTGGTATTTAGCCAGCTGAGACCAGAGGGCGAGCAGATACCACCAATTCACGGGAGGAAATACTCTCTTTATTTGCCCCTAGACTAGTTTCCGTTCTAAACTTGAGGGTAAATGCTCATCGATATTTCTGGCGGCGGCTACAATGTCCTAGACACTGAGATCCGCGGAGGCCTCTCAGGCACTACTCCACGCAGGCTGGGAGTAACACAAATGCATTCTAGCACTCGCAGGTTAGGAGGGATGTGAGGTTGTAAACCAAGCTGTTTTTCAGTTTACCTACGGACAAGCCCGGGAAGGTCACTCGTTCCTCCCGCGAGGGCAGTACTTTCGTTGTACAGCTCTCGTTTCCTAGGGGAACAGAATTGCTAGACGCAATAGGTGCGTTGTCTTTAGAGTTCCCCCATCCCGTTGAGAGCCGGAAGCAGTTAAATCTCAGGCTCCAGCATTTCGGGAGAAGGTAAGGGACAGGTTCTGAGGCGAGGGGTCCCTGACTGGGTGCAGGAGAGGTGTGGCAGAAGAGAGTATTTTCTCTCTTGCTGGAGAGGCTTTATTAGCCTGGAGGAGTGAGGGAGAAGTTTCTTGGACCTGATCAAAGAGGGTAAGGTCTTGCTTGGCCAGAACGGACTCGAAGATAGATCTTGGGATTAACTTTCCAAGAGCCTAGGATAGATTCTAAAGCTAACTTTGTCGGGAGCTGGTGAAGTTTTTGGTATCTCTGTCCCTGGAAATCCACACCCCACCCCCACGCCATGGGAGGAATGACATCCGTATGTATGGAAATGGATTAAAAAAGATCTCACGTTATCATATTCAGTCTGGTCATTTTGGTGGGTTTTCTCTTGCCCTGTTCCTTTCCTGCTTTGCTGTGAATGGTCTCTATAATCGTCCGAAAGGTGAAAAATCCTTCCTCTCTCATTTAATCAGAGACTGGGGGTAGTTATAGTTGGCTTGAGAAGGGATTTAGTACCAGGTCCTGTAGGGACAAGTGGGAGGCAGTGCTGATGCAACTTGTTTCAGATTTCTCTCTGTAAAACAAACACACAAACAAAAAGCAAAAATCTTCACAGTGGCAAGCAGCAGTGGAAAACTTACAGCGTGAGATAACATTTCTCAGGACTTGCTTTCAAAAATAATAAATCTGGTAACGGAATAACGATTTCTTGATGAAATCCTTTCATTGCATCAAGATGAAACAAATTTAAGGCATATTTTCTCCTTATAATATTAACGTGACCGAGAAGAGACTAGATTATTGCTATGTGAAAATGGTTTTTAAAGGTTGATAAATCTGTAGCTCCAATTATTCACACACACACACACACACACACTCAAGAGGGTTTTTTTTTTGTTTGAATTTTTTTTTTTTAGTACCAGGGATTGAACTCGGGACCTTGGGCTTTCGAGGCAGGCGGTGGAACCACTGAGCTAAATCCTGGGCCCTGTTTCAGTTTTTTTTTTAACTTCAGAATATTCAAGACAGGAGGTTTTGTAATTTTAAACCGGTTTGGGAACTTTTCAGAGCCAAGAGATCCTTATGTGTTGTTTGTTGACTTTGCACGATAACTTTATTCTAGTGAACCTACTGGAGAAATAACAGTCTTTAAACCCCAGGACAGAGAACATAAAATTTGAGCTATTTAAATCCCCAAGAAAAGCTTCTCTACAAACTGAACTTTTACAGCATTTATTGGTTTGTTTGTTGGAAGGGTTTTTTTTTTCTCTTTGAGTTAAAGATTAATTCTGAATTAAATCAAATCTATGACATTAACTAATGGCAAGGAGGAGAAAAATAATTTCATAATTAAAAGATTAGCTGGGCACAGTGGCAAGTGCATGTAGTCTCAGGAGGCTGAGGCAGGAGGATTGAAAATTCCAGCAGAGCTTGTGCAATAGTTTAGTGAGACACTGTCTTTAAAAAGATTAAGGGCTGTGGATGGAGCTCATTTCGAAAAGGTCCTGGGTTCAATGCTCAGAGCTACACACACACA